ACAATAACGGCATTCCGTCATCGTGATGGATCGACGAATAAAGAGATTAGATTAATCCTCGAACATGCTCTCTTGAACTCTGTCATTCAGTTTCCTGTTTACCGTGTAATTTTTGCTTTAATTGCAAATATTCCTTTCTCACCTTATAAGCATACGAATGACTTCTTTGTCAGATCATCAGTTTCTTTCCTCATGACACCGATGCACAAGCGCCGAATATTATTTGTACCTATTGTTTCGACAGTTATTATTTCTAAGTCAGACGACACGAAATCGTTTATTGTATCAAGTGAATCATAATCTTGCAACGAAATTGCATTCGTCATGACCGATGACTCACCCTTACGGGCCCTTACGAGGTCGAGGACCTGGACATTCCAACTGCACTCCTCTACTTTATTTATTTGGCCAGTTTTTTTCTTTCCTACTCCGATCGTTTCCCATAACCATAAGAAACATAGATTTTGTTACGTCGGGCGACCGTCTACCTGCACCAGGCCATACACCGCTCATCCTTACGGCGTACTCTCAATAGCCTTAAGTACCCGTCATAATCACAGTAATTTGCTTACTAAGGTCTTTCAGACCGAACAAATATCTTTTTCTAAATTATTTTCTAAAGACTATTGTCTACCACGGCTTGACAAGGGAAAGTTAGGTTTTCCCATGTACGATGCTTCCTAATAGCAACTTTCTATGGAGGGCGGCTAAGACCTTCCTAATCCACCAACCTTCGTTTATTCAATCAGAAGCAATGTATATTGCCCTCACTTCCCGACCAAAAATGTCATGAACAAATCCGATGGTCTCGTGCGCTAGACACATCCATCGTTAGCTTTCCTCCGACACAGCATCGTCACTCAACTTTACTTTTTCTACACCGCTGGAAAAGTCAACTATTTCTTCTATAGCGCTAGAAAAGTCAACAACTAAGTCCAAATCTAAGCACGAACACTCACTTCATCTACTAAGTATCCTCTAGTGTCACGTCCACTAACACACGAAGTTCAATTATAAGAGCCTTGCTCTAGCGTGCATATCTATCTTACCTTCGAGCGACAAGTTGTCATCTAGGAATTATATCTACTCAACAGTGTAACTTAAACGTTGGAAATAAAACCTTATAATTCTGTGAATCACAGCGTTATACTAACTCAATCACCCCTATTATCTTAACGGAAATCAGGGGATCGATCACCTCGTGGTGTCGATTGCTATAATCGTAACGGGAATTTACGACTCCCGTTGACGTCTCTCCTCGAGATTGCGTCTGCCCGCGATTGGTCGAAAATACAGATCTGATATAAAAATTATTCAACTTATCTACTTTATGACGTGACATGAATTTGAGATAAAGTTTGCAGACACCTATGAAATATTGTAACAACAATATATGTGTTAACAAATATTTGTACAAAGAAACGTGATTAATCTGTAAGATGCTCGGCACACTATTAAGAGAGAACTATGAGTCTATGTCTGAAGAAATAAAAGTTTGTAAAAGGACGTAACACAGATAAACCTGCATCGTCACGAAAATTTCCTTTTGTGTCCGATTGTGTGCAATCTCCTTTCGCGTACAAATGAGTTAGAACGTATCAAGGAATTGGGTTCAAGAAATTGCCACTTTAATTTCATCGAGCTCTCATAACACTGTCACGTCAATGTTATGTCACGGAACGTGGCCGACGCTCGCCGTGGTCGTTTCGTCTTCGTTATACCAATAAAACGAGCCGGTCGCACTACGATGCTCTCAATAAAAATTAATGAATTCCAGAAAATTCCATCGCAAAACGTCAATGGACGTCCGTTGCTCCGCGTCTGCGGCGGTGACTTGGCGCGAACACGCTTTTTCCCGCCATCTTTTGCGGTTTTCCGCACGTGATTTTCTACTGGACCGTTCCTTTGTTTCGCCTGTGGTTTATGGCCATTTAATGACTTAGAACAAGAATCTACCTGTATCGTTCTTCGCCTTCAAATCTCTCAAATAAAGTTAGACTTCAGAATCGTCCTTATTACATTATACGAAGGTACGAAAATTGTGAGATATTTAAAAATACGATAATGCACGAAACAATGGAAAAACATAGAAAATATCCGAGGTACCATTTATAATATTTATATGTGGGTAGAAAATTCTTTACCTAAGTTTTATCTGCTTAATTTAAAAAATATGAATTTGCACAAATATCAACCTACAATACTAATTAGTATGCTGGTCGTGATTAAGATTGCCCCCGAAGATACGTAGGAAGCAAAGAAAGGCGATTCGATTACACAGATTAGCTCGCGCGTACAGAACCGATCGTTGCATAAATCAAAGACGTATGGGCAGATATTCTTCTTAATTAATCGTGTATAACGATCGGCAAACGAGCTGCAGCGCAATTTATTTCGGTATGCCTGAGTGCAAAGTCTGTCTGGTCGTCGAATCAAGAAGGATGACGACTGAAATTCGACGAGATAAAGGTTCGATTTTAACCGAACAGGGAACAAGATCTACAAAGTAGTTGTCAATAGCATTGTCATGGTCGACTACTATTGTTGACTACGATTGTTGTGGTTGACTACTATTGACTACTATTGTTCTCGAAGGAAAAAGAGAAATTACCGTAAGTCATGATAACTTCTTATTGTGGTAGGATGACGGCAAAGGCTATTTATTCAAATTACAAAAGACCATCTCATAAATTCTTCAGAACCGTCATAAATTTTCCAAACATGGTCAAACAGGCCACAAAGAGAATTCCGATTTTCTGCCAGAACATACCCAATTGTTCATTCGTCAAGAGAATTCCTAACCAGCCGTTTGGTTTATGAAACTTCTTTGCATTTTAATATTGTCGTGTAGACGGAAGCGATATTTTATTCAAATTCTTTGCAACTGTTACGTAATTGTCATTTTGCTTGTCCTTCGCGGCAATTAAATTGCTGTCGAGTTTTACCTTAAGAAACGTTTCTATCGTATAGAAACTTCAACAATCTTTCGACGATTCAAGGAACGCCTTGAATTCGATCGTTACGAAAATAATTTATGTTAATCGTGATCAACGTCGATTTGACTCGATCCCTCGGAAGTATCGTTGCAGGTATTACTTAATCATCGGCTCGTGCAAAGGCATCGAGCAGACGCGTTAAAAATGCTAATCGGTAGTCGCCATCTGCAACGCCGCTTCTTTTATTTTCATAATATATTTGGTGTTATTTCTGTTAGTGAACGTTTACTATTATCGGATGTTAAAATTGTTTCAAGAATAAAGTAATAATTGAGTAATTTATTTATAGAGTTTGGAAACACGGTAGATGGATCGTTGAAGCAACTCGACGAATTCGACGAAGAATTTCAAATGGCCGTTCGAATAATATTCGAATCCGTAGAATTTCGATCGATTGCTATGCTATCAGACTTAGCTTAATAACTTCGATACTTACGTAATCGCCGAACCTTATCAGTAATTGCTAGAATTTTCAACCAAAACGCATTATGGTAATTATTATCTGAATCATTGCGTGTCAAAATTTCTCTTTATCTTCCCTCGCTCTTATCTATGTTACATCGCGAAGTACAGCGTTTCTCAATTAACGAAACAGCAACGAACAATGTCCTAAATACTAAAAATATTACTTAATGTAACGTGTTGCGTCAGATGATTCACTTTTTACTACCATTATCTCATATTATTAGAAATTCCCAAATAATATCAGTTCTGTATTTTACTTGTGCAATGTTTTTAATCGAATCAATGCAACAAAATTTCAGCGATTCCCTCTTCCATTGCACAATTCTACGATGACGTAAAGATGACGTACTTTTCGTTATTTTTTCGATGAATCGTCCGTTCAAGTCTACGATTATTGATATGATAACGATATATCTTCATGAATGTATAGAAGGTAGAGACAATGTTTGACCATGAGAAGGTAACAAGACATCCGTCATCATCGTGGCGACTTAAATTGCTAAAAAAAAATTTATACGGGCGTGCTGCCAATGTCAAAAGCGAGGTCGGCAGTCGATACGCCGTGCCGTAGCAGCTCTTTGTCAGCTTCGATCTAATTAATCCTCGTTAAGTCATCGTCAATTGTTTACGTAAATGAAGTATTCAACTGGCAGACGCAAACTTTTGCTCACGAATCGCACGCGTGTGTACCTTGTTTCAGCTGCGATTATTGCACATGCACGTTACGATCGTACAAAGGTATTAACACCTGTCTGCTTTATTGTCATTTGTTTGTAAGTATAATTTAGCCGAAGACAGACGTAACGCGATGCACGAGAATCGAAGTGAAAAGAACAGGTGACACGTAGGTGAAATCGAGGACGGTCTCACGAAAAGTTTCGTCTATGAGAACACGCGAATACACTTTGTTTTACGTTCAATACGAAATTAAAAAATATTTGCGCGCGTAAGTTAAATGAAATGCAAACAGAAACGCACGATGAACGAGCTAAAAGAATAATAAAATAGGAAGTCAGCAGGAGTTGAGGATAGAGTGGCGTGCAATGTTTCTGGCCAGACAAATTTCTCACTTTGTATTTCAAAACGGATATGCAGACTGCGCACTTTTGTGCAACTTCACCTTTCCGCGTACATAATTAAGGAAATGAAACCTAAATAGGGACTCGCGTCACTGAAGCCGCAACAAAAAGTTGCATAGTTAGAGTTCTTTAAAATATCGTTTTTAGAATATGAAGCGAACGATCTACCTGGCTGGAAATTTTTGCACATCATTGGAGGTCCTTGAATTGATTCGAATATGAAAGGGAAACACAGTCACAGTCTAAATAAATGGAGGATAAATAGATCGAGATAAATAGCGAAGAAATCGACAAAGGTTAAAATAGGAAATGACAGCGTGATTTACTTTCCGGAAGTGGAAGTTCAAGGCAGAGCGACTTACCTTGCTGCTGGCAAGGTTTACCCACTCCATTACGATATCTTTAATAATCTATTTGATTTCTCTAATGTACACGTAACAGGAACGAACGAGAAGCCTGGTATCCTAAAATGGCTTTATTAACTCTTAACTTTACACGTGTTTAATATGCAGTACTTGTCAGAGATATCTGTATACGCGTGTATCTGTGTGTCTGTGTCTGTATTATTCCACGCTTCTTTCATTAGTCGTCGACCACACCACCCGATAGGATGATCGTTAACGAGATACGATGCCTTCTCGATCGTGCAGATCGAAGGAAGGACGATATTTCATTACCTGGCCCGATTCCTTCCATCCGGGGTTCCGTCGAGGCGCCATAGCGGACAAAAATAATTTGCGAATTCCCAGTCGACGTGTATTACTTTTATGTATATATCATTATGTGTACAAGACATTCCTTATACGCGACGTGATAATCGTTTCTCCTCCTTCGTCTCTCCCCTCGAAGCGGAACTTTTTCGGTGGTCCGCGTCCTTCTGGACTCCACCGATTTCTACGATTTTTCCTTCGTATTTCTTCCCTAATTCTTTCGTCGTTTCATTCTTGTTTCCCTAGCTTTTCTTCTCTTCTATACAAAATACTTTCGAACCGCACACACACACACACACTCTCTCTCTCTCTCTCTCTCTTCCTCTCTTCGTTTCGCAGGCCAAAAAAAAAGAAAGTAAGCTCCGTCCAAAAGCTTGTTCTTAAACACGACGATCGGCTGTATGTTCGCCAATTCCGACCTCTTCTTTACAATTTTTCCACTTCTGACACCGTATCTTATAAATATCGTACACGTTTATTATACATAATCGTCGTTTCCGTCACAATAACACAATTGCAGCGCATGAGAGTTACGCGTATAGCGATGATATGATTAGAAGCATGATATGAGTTCTGCTCTTGTCTATCGCAGGTCACAGACCGGAGATTCGAAAGTAGTCTTTGAGTAGCGTGTACACATACTGCGATCGGCCACGCACGATCGATATGGCCCCATCCACGATCCGAGCTTCTTTTATTCTTATTATATATATATTTTTTTCCTCTCGTAAAAAAAGCTTTCTGTGTCTCTTTTCTTCTTTTTTTTATTTTTTTTTTTTTTTTTGTTTAAGGTAGCTCGAGCGTGGACGCGACGAGACGATTCGTGACGCATCAATTTCCTTGAACAGCGGATACGCTAAAACGTGATACAAAAATAGAAAATACTCCCGAGGTTTTCTAATTCGTGCGATTATCGCGACGAATCGTACATGTTGTTCGTTTCATTGGAACGCAATCGTTTTGCACTGTGGAATAGAATGATCTGCCTGATTTTTTATTCTGCGATAAACAAGGCGCGGTGAAGAAGGATTGAAAAGAGATAGTCGCGTGTTAATATACTTAAATCTTCTACATTATAAAGACGTGAATTAATATATATTATATCGTAATTTAGCTTGCATACCAAACATCCGTTTTTTTTTTTTTATCATTCTACATACACAAATATCATCATTATCATCATCATCATTATTATCATCATCATCATTCACACTAAGTTTTAATAGGAGTGACCCCAAATTTGTAGATTCGTCAACTACCTGTTCCTGTTGCGAAGAAGTGGATGAACAGAGCCTTCAAATTCGAGGTACGCGAAAGATATCGCTTTTCTTTTTACTTTTGTTTTGTTATTTCTCTTCCTGTTTCCTCCTTCCCTTGTCCTTCGTTCTTTTCTTTCGAATTTCTCGCATTATTTCCTTCCTCTTTGAAAAAATATCAGGAAACTATCGAGGTATTGAAGAAACGGCAGCGCGTACATACCCGTATCCCAAAAAAATTGTGGTTCATTCTCGTTCCTTTTTCCTTTTATTTATTCGTTCACGAAAATCAGTCGAAAATTTGTTTGCAACAGAGCAGCTGGTTAGATTGTAGAAAATCATTCATATAAAAAACGTGTGCGCGCCCTGTTCATAGGGTGTACGGGTGTTTACGCACGTTTGTATATGTTAAAAAGTAGGTCTTATTACTTTATTCTCCTCCGTGTCCTTTTGTTCCTTCTTATTTTTAATTCCATTTTTTCTTCTCTGCTTTAAGTAGTTAGTACTTCTTTTTGGCTTGGTAACTATGTAAATTCTAAATTAAATTAAGCCATCGACGGGTTTAGAATCGTTAAAACTAGAGCTTCCTTTTTTCTTCAAACGATAAAAAAAAAAAAAAAAAATAGAAACAAAAGACCTTAGATAATAGTCACAGAGCTGTTAAAAAAAAGGGCGAATTCCTTGTCTGATTGTGCGTGAAACGAATGGGAAGCTTCCACCTGTACAGTGTAAAGAAAAAAAAGAAATAAAGAAATAAAAAGTGCAAGACAATGTAAACCCTAGACAGTAGGTCTTGGCAGTGTTCTTCGAACGACATCAATCTAACAATAAGTAATGCAGCAGACTGTCTATCGAACGACAAATAGGTAATATACATAGTTTTTATATATATATATATATATATTTATATATATTATCATTAGTTTTTTTTTCTTTTATTCTGCGTGGCCTACAGCGCCAATGGAAGCATTTTGCTGTCACTCTGCAATGGCATATCGCGCAAACAGATACACACGGTTAAGTTATGTTCCATTTTTTTTTTCTTTAAAAAAATCCTCACTTCTCACTAAGTTAATCGTTTAAGTCTGGCATAACCGATCGTCGGATGGGTCAGTTCAATAAAATCGCAGAATATACAAAATCTTCTTCGTTCCTGTTTCGATATTCCTTCCTCTTGCAAAAACTTATGGACAGTATAAAAAAAGAGGCTTGAATAACTGGCGATAAAACTGTCTCGTCCGACGAAGAATTATCATGTATCTCTTTTTTCTCATCTGGCAGCGTTACGCGTTGTAGGTACGTTGTAAGATTCGTTAAGTCGATAGTCTTTGATACTTGGAGACCGTTTGCTTCTTTTTTTTTCATTTTTTAACAGTAAATTGCGTTAAGTCGTAGAACCATTTATAGTAAGTGTTTTCTTCGTTCACAGCAGGATACCCTTATTGCTTAAAAAATGGCACTGATATTACTGAAATATTTAACGAGTATCGTTGCTGCATATACAAACACCGACTCTCTTTGCTACCCCATATTATCGAGTAAAATACATCTCGCCCTAAACGACTGGCTGGTTCTACAAGATTCGTAAACCTAAAACCTAAAATATCCGCTTACCCGGTCGGAGTAGTAGAATCATTCTCCCTCTTTCTTTCTCTCTTTCTACAGTTGAATTCGTTACGAAAGGCAACGCGTGATTTGTAATCCCATACACTCCCTAGAAAAATGTATCCCGTGAAATTACAAGACGATCGATGACAAAAAGTGCATCTGTTTTGTTAAAAAATGAAAGTAAAAAGAGGAGAAGAAAAAGGAAAGAAACTCGAGGACGACTTTCCCATCCCTCGTTCCCTCGTCTTTCTCTTCCCTTAAATACGTTATATACCGCGGATAAATAGCGACGAATGAGTATACATGTACATAGATAATATTACAAAGTAAGTAAAAGTGGGCGTGACTTTTGGCGTGAGTTCTCCTGAACAGATCTTTCGTCTTCTCTCGTTTCGTGATACCGATATACATATACATATATATATTGTTCGAATGCCGGGACGAACGAAAGCTTTGTGTTTTCCTTTTTTTTTCTTTTTTCGTTTTTTACTTAAGATTGCTGTATATGTTCAGATTACCGCAGTTGTCCATTTTACCGGCAAGCTGAGGTTTCTTCTGATAGTTGGTTTGGTTTTGCGCGTGTATTGGGGAGTCTCCGAGCATCGCTAACATATATTTGCGCGTGGGCGAGTGAACCGTATTTTGTTAGGGTGGCACGTAGGGGGGTGGTTTCCTGTACGTCGGGGTGGGTTTAGGACGATTCTGACGATTGGTATCGCGGTTCGTTGCGAATGGTGGAGGTGGTTGGTACGGTTCCTCGGAATTCTCCTTCGGCAACATCGGCACGTCCGCGCCATCTTCAGCCTTTTGATATTCAGGAGGTGGTAGTGGTGGTTTTTCTTCCTTCAGAATGACGGGAGACTTGTTACCTGCAATAAACGATAAAAATATATAGCTTAGTTAACGCAAGAATAGTGGAAAATCTAGGTATTTAAATAAATGAAAAATTTATACCTGGATCTGGCTTTTCATCCAACTCGTCCTGGAAAATGACGGGTATACCCTTGCTACGGAAACTCTGTCTCTCGTCGTCCTGTTCGCTGACGCTCATCTTGCCACTACGCCTTCGTCTGTACAACACGCAGGCAATGATACCGGCTAGGATGAGCATTATAGCGATTATTATAGCCGGCAGGACGAACGTGATGAGATAATCATCGTGGAATGCCCCGACTGAGGTGGAATCGTCCACTGGTGGAACGTGACTGTCAGGCGAATGAACGTCTGTTAATTCGCCAAGGCAGATGCCCATGGGGACCACAGTGATTTGTTTCACAGGGAATTTCGGGCCCATAACGTCCAGAACCTCGTCCGTGACAGATCGACGATCATTGTCACTCTTTACGAGTACCGAACGCAATCTACTGACTTCTTCGTGGGCACAATACGAGGTAGGCAAGGTTCTGTTGTGCCACGTGATTACCGTGCTACCATTCGATATACTATGTAAAGAGATCGCATTAGTATCTTTATCTTGATACAGATCACGGAGCTTTTCGATGAAATTACGCTTTTGAAGGGCAGAGTGTGCAAACGATTTGTACGGGATGTCCAGGGTCATGGAGAACTCCACCGTATGGTGCATGAAGGGTGCAGAATGTACAACAACCACTAGGCCGTCGGTGGCGCTTGCGCCTACAAGGAATTGACGAAAGTTTTATAAAAATATCCAATGTCTAAATCGTGGAAGTGGTAAATTTTGCTTACCTTCTTTGTCAGTAACTACCAATTGATATTCCTTTCGTCCAACGTCACTACGCATTGGGACTCCGTAAAATTCTTGATTCTTGCTGTCAAATTGCAGCCATTCCTGTGGGGGAATAGGCTTGCGTTCGATGGTCAGTAGAGACATTTGCATATTTCTTGCGGAACCATCTTCTGCATCGTAGAAGGTATCCTAGAATAATAATTTGTATTAGATTTATATTTAAATGAGACAGTGCGTTTCTTCTGTTATGACATAACATACCTCTGGTACTTTAAATACAAGCAACTGGCCAACAGTGGCATTAACAAGGTCCACCTGGTTCCTAGGTACCGGTGGGAAGTTTGATTTAGGCTCTTGCGTAGACACTTTTGGTACTTCTGGACGGGATATGTCCTCACACTGTCCAATACCCTGGTAGACCACTCGTTTGACTCTAATTTCAGGGAGGAGAACATCCCTCAATGAAGGACTGGGCTCGCCGTTTTTATCAATCAGGACCTAAATCACAGATATTTAATAACAGTCTTTTTAATACGCATCTGAAAAAATAACGAGACATTAAAACCATAATTACATGCATAAGATCGTCGATATATTCTTTAGGGCACTCGCTGCTTCTAGGTAAACTATCATTGGTCCAAGTGAAAATTGCTTGGTCGCGATCGATATCAACAGCTCTAACGGTGATATGCCTGGTATCGCTATCTCCATACAATTCGGCTATTCCTCGAATTACCTATAAACCGACAACAATTGAACGCACTAGTATAGGCTCTATTATAACAGATGAATACCTTTAGCTCCCAGTCAACGTCTGTAGGAAACTCAGTGCGCTTATCGATCCTTAAATAAATACTGAATTCATGGTTCACACTGCGACTGAGCTTGTGCTGCTGCACGTGAATGTCGAGTCGATCTGTCACATTTAATCCCTCGCTATCGCCAGCTACCAATTCGTAGGTCCAAGTAGAAATATCGTTCTCCAGTGGCCTGCGCAATAATGATTAATTAAAAAGTAAATTCTTTATATACAGGATATTTCACTGTTGAACATAGTTCACATATAATAAACCACTTTGTAATCGTTTCTTGACAACTAATGCTTACAATCCATAAACCTCCTGTGTCCTTTGATTGAATTGTAGCCAGTGGCTGGGTTTCAACGGTGCACCCTGCAGATACAAACTCAGCTTCAGGTTTCTGGTATCTCCGTCCTCCAGATCGCTGAACGTATTAGCAGGTATAACATAGCTCAATGGTTTTCCAGCCGTAACCGGTATCTTCTTCAGTCTCCTATCTTGTTTGGGCGGGAAGTTGCGAACTCCGTACACTATGGTTTCCGTGGTAACCCTAGGTGGTTCCGTGGCAGCGCTGGTCGGTGCTGGAGTGGTAGTGATCGTGGTAGTGGTTGTACTAGCAGTGGTTGGAGCCATGGTAGTAGTAGTGGTGGTATTGGTGGTGGTTGTAGTTGTAGTGATCGGTGTGGTTCTCATCTGTGTCGTTGTTGTTGTGGGTGTTGTAGTGATATTTGTGACCAGTGCGGTGGTTGTGGTTGTGGTGGTGGTGTTTGCAGGTATTGGTAACAGAGTAATGGGCTGTTTCGTCGAAGACATTGACGATTGTTCCGTCGGCTAAAGGCAGAAAAAGGATGCTTTAATATTGGGGAACAAGTGGTCAAATCGTCGAATCTCGATGTATGAAGACATCGTGAATAATAAAAAAAAAGGGACAAATTAATTATGGTAATTAATGAATGCTGCGAGAAGATCGTGCGAATTATCTTTTCGACCACAATTTCGAGATGCAAATGCAAACAAGAAACCTTGGTTTTGGCCAGTTTCTCATGGACAATGCTCCCTTCCCGTGGAGTTAGCACGCTTGCTTTACTCGTATGAATTATTACTCGGCGCAGCTTACTCTAAAGTGACACGCCTGTGCACGACGCTGTATTAAATTACACTTCTAAGCTGCGCTTAACTTTCCCGCCAGCATCTATGCAGCTTTGTGACAAACGACAATGAGCGAAGGATATCCACGCTACGATCCTCGTCGCGCATCGTTTATAAGGCAGAAGATGGCTTTAGGTGGGCTATGTGATACACAACGACCTATCGTTTGGCATATTAAAGCGACAGACTAACGTGAACGGACTCTACGCGTAGCATGAACTATCGTACAAACGAAAGCTTGAAGCATTGAAGCATTACCTCTTCCGTGGTAACATTAACGGTACCATTGGTGACGTCCGGTTCCGTCCTTTCGACAACAACGGTGGTAGGTGTGGTTCCCATTGTTGTGGTACTAGAATGAGGAACGATTACCGAAGGAGGGATGGTGGTGAGTTCTGGTATAGTGACAGATGACACGTTTAGAGATTCGGTCTCCGTGTATCTGGTGTTCTTCGTTGTCTCTTCGGTGCTCTCCGATTTCTCCGGTGTCTCGGTCGATGGGACAATGATGGTCGGCATGATGCTTGCTGTTGTTGTATCTGCTATTGTTGTACTCGTTGTTGTGCTAGTTGTTGTATTGGCCGTTGACGAGGGTGGTTGTTGGGTGGTTGTTGTTGTTGTCGAAGTAGTTGAAGTGGTCGTCGTGGTGATGGTTATTGGAGTTGTTGATGGTGGTGATGTAAGTTCAGTGGTTGTTGTCTGCGAAATCGTTAGTAGATGCGATGTACGGCACGAAAAACTTGGTTAGTTACATTACGAAGGGAGCGAAGAAGATGTATACAAAGAAAAAGGACTATAAAGAAAGAAAAAATAATATATATATATGTGCTCTTCTCTCTCTCTCTCTCTCTCTCACATACACACACACACACACACATTCAGGCTTTCGTATCCATTTCAACAGAGTTACTTCGCATTACAGCGCTTCCTATACATCGATCGATACCGCCTAAACGGCATAGAAAATGGCATAAGTCGGCATTGAACACGCAGTACCCACAGCTAGACTAAAATATTTTAAGCGCAACGATTCCCTTAAGCGATTGGCGTGGCGAATGAAGGACAGAGACATAAGAATTTTATAACGAAAGCCAGTTATATAGCGATGTTCTTTTGCTATTTTCTTTTTTAACGTTTCTTCTAATTTAAGAGAAGAATCGGTGAGAAATTTCAAATTTATCACACGATTCGATTGGCTTCAATTCGATACTTACGGTCGACGTGGTGTCCGTAGTGGTTCTATTCAATGCACTCTCCACTACATTTGGTTGATTCACGACTGGAATCTCCTCCTCATCGATATTCTCTTCGGTCTAAGACACGCATAAGTTCCGTTAATTTTCCATAAAACTAAAATATCTCTAATTATCCTCCGTCGTATGAATACAACTTACATTCCAATCGATAGGTTCTTCTCCATGGTGATGCCTGTGTGGATGTTCGGGCAGATTCGCTTTAAGTGAATTCGTGTCCGGCATGAAAGTTGGCGATACTTGCGAGTCATCGCCATCCTCACCGTCCTCGCCATCCTCACCGTCTTCGTCATCCTCGCTATCGTATTCGATGTCATAATCATCGTAACTTTCGTAGTCCGCGTTACCGTAATGCCCAGAACCGCTTTCCCTTCTGCTTCTCAACAACAAGCTCGACTCCGTCTTCACGCGCCATAGCAGCACCGGAAGTTGCATCACTTCCGCCAGGGTACCATCCTTCGCTTGTTCCCGCAGATGTTTCACCAAATCTGTCTGGTGCCTCCATAAATGACCGTCGCAACCGACCTTTTAATAAAATTCGAACGTGAAATGTTAGCTTTGATCGTTGTCAATATCCTTTGATATTCTTTCTTTAAAGAACTGTGAAGTGGTACAGCACAGAAAAAAAGAAATAATAGTCTTTGAATAAGATTCGAACGCGGACCGTTGCAAACTGACGAAAGTAAGAAGACTACGAGGGAAGTAAAAATTTCAATCAAAAGGTCTCACCTGCCACTGGACCGCCGTGAGGTGTTTCTCTTTCCGGTGTTTCACGTTTCCTGATCCGCTGAGGATCACGGTAGAATCATCGTTGAAACTTTCCTTGGCGTTTTGCGGATGCATCGAAAACGCGCTCTGAAATTCGAATCGAGGATGAACGAAACGTCACAAATGAATAAAAGAGGCGAATTTTTTTGCCGATAGTAGACAGCGCAAATAACGAGGGAGATGTCGGCGCATCCCGATTTCGATTACGTCGAGCACTCTAATCGCACGGAAAATAGATTTTTGTTCGTCGCGATCCGGCTAGGGCAAAAATTCCACGGGATGCAATTAAATCATCCTCAATGGCCGAAGATTGAATTCACGTAATCGATTTGATTATTCCGATGAAATGAATTTCTCCGACGATGCAATTTCCCGTGATTTAAGCGGCGCGACTCGTTTCGAGATCTCTTGCGACGTTTCCGAAATATTTCCACTTCGATATGCAGAAAGCTATGATTCTATAAATATAGTTAATCGCGATTATTCGATTTCTTCGATTGGTAGGGTTAAACGACGAAAGTGTACACAGTCGAGTGGATCGTATTATGTACAGAGAAAAATACAGTGGAAAAATACAGTATACAATTTTATACATGGTGGTTGGTAACTGGTGGTACAAGCGGAAAGGGGGTGATTCTAAGCGAAAAAAGAAGTCGAAAATATAGAATAAAAATTTTTCGCTTGAGGCTTTGTTTTCGAGAAAATCGACTTTGAATTTTCGCTCGGTACGCGTTTTAACGGATTTCACTGTAGATCGTTGTCTCGATGGAAAAATAAAAAAAAATTTTTATTCTATATTTTCGACTTCTTTTTTCGCTTAGAATCACCCCCTTTCCGCTTGTACCACCAGTTACCAACCACCATGTATAAAATTGTATACTGTATTTTTCCACTGTATTTTTCTCTGTACATAATACGATCCACTCGACTGTGTACACTTTCGTCGTTTAACCCTACCAATCGAAGAAATCGAATAATCGCGATTAACTATATTTATAGAATCATAGCTTTCTGCATATCGAAGTGGAAATATTTCGGAAACGTCGCAAGAGATCTCGAAACGAGTCGCGCCGCTTAAATCACGGGAAATTGCATCGTCGGAGAAATTCATTTCATCGGAATAATCAAATCGATTACGTGAATTCAATCTTCGGCCATTGAGGATGATTTAATTGCATCCCGTGGAATTTTTGCCCTAGCCGGATCGCGACGAACAAAAATCTATTTTCCGTGCGATTAGAGTGCTCGACGTAATCGAAATCGGGATGCGCCGACATCTCCCTCGTTATTTGCGCTGTCTACTATCGGCAAAAAAATTCGCCTCTTTTATTCATTTGTGACGTTTCGTTCATCCTCGATTCGAATTTCAGAGCGCGTTTTCGATGCATCCGCAAAACGCCAAGGAAAGTTTCAACGATGATTCTACCGTGATCCTCAGCGGATCAGGAAACGTGAAACACCGGAAAGAGAAACACCTCACGGCGGTCCAGTGGCAGGTGAGACCTTTTGATTGAAATTTTTACTTCCCTCGTAGTCTTCTTACTTTCGTCAGTTTGCAACGGTCCGCGTTCGAATCTTATTCAAAGACTATTATTTCTTTTTTTCTGTGCTGTACCACTTCACAGTTCTTTAAAGAAAGAATATCAAAGGATATTGACAACGATCAAAGCTAACATTTCACGTTCGAATTTTATTAAAAGGTCGGTTGCGACGGTCATTTATGGAGGCACCAGACAGATTTGGTGAAACATCTGCGGGAACAAGCGAAGGATGGTACCCTGGCGGAAGTGATGCAACTTCCGGTGCTGCTATGGCGCGTGAAGACGGAGTCGAGCTTGTTGTTGAGAAGCAGAAGGGAAAGCGGTTCTGGGCATTACGGTAACGCGGACTACGAAAGTTACGATGATTATGACATCGAATACGATAGCGAGGATGACGAAGACGGTGAGGATGGCGAGGACGGTGAGGATGGCGATGACTCGCAAGTATCGCCAACTTTCATGCCGGACACGAATTCACTTAAAGCGAATCTGCCCGAACATCCACACAGGCATCACCATGGAGAAGAACCTATCGATTGGAATGTGTGTATACACAAAAGTCGGCACGAACTTATGGGATGATCTAATATTATGATACTTGTTACGATAACAAGATTCATCCACAAAATGGGAACAACGGCGGAGATTGTAACGGAGATTGTACGAAAAAACTAAATACGATCTAATCTCTAGCGCGTGGACTATCGCACACTCTGCCGCTCTACCTGTTTTTGCCTCGTGGAAAATGCTATCTGCGTTCTTCATATTGCACCTAACTGCAGTTTCTCAGCGCGCAGTCATAAAAGCTGCAAATCTCATTCGTTCGAGCGATACCAGGCAATGTAAAATAGCGGAGAGAAAAATTGGACGTTGTTGTCTCCAACAGCAGTAAAAATATATTGTAGAGATAATAGCAGGACGGAAACGAGGAGGGAACAGTCTGACCCGCGTAGAAACATGCGCAACGAGCGCAGGTCTACGTATATAAAGAGTAATGTGTTTCTTTGTTTTTCGCGGTGATTAAATTAATTAAGAATTCCCGAGACGCGCGGTGAGAAAAAAATGGCGGCCTGCTCAAAGGCGTCCAATTTATGCTCGACGGAACCTCTTCGCCGAGGATGCTTTAAAACTTGAATATTTTCTGTATTATGTCGAGCTCGCGATGCATCTTCTATTTCACAACGTTGCACTGGCCGGTGTAACGTCATAAAGTTTCCCTTCTCATAAAGAAGCTTCTCCTGGCAAACTTTATCAAATATTCTTCGCCACGAGCGTTGCTTCGCGCATTAGGATAGCTCCGCGATTTCTCGTATTTGCTCGATTAAAACTTCTGCCTAATTCCGGTTTCTTAATGAATTAGAAAGATCTATATGTCGGAGATGGAAGAACAGCGGATGTTGGAAAAAACCCCAATACCCTAGTCCAGACTCGCACTATAGCCGCCCTTAAGCAATAAAAATAAGAAATAGTCTTAATGTTCCGATCTGACTTTATGACGATGGGTTTGTTTGGGCTCGAAGTGACATAGCGGGTCACTAGACGTAGCCACGGTCACGGGAGGGACATGTACCTGACCGAGGTATGAAATGATTATATGGCTCTCCTTAAAAACAAAGAAGTGGGGACAGGAGTATATAAGGGCAGCTTCTTTTGGATTAAGGGAGTTAGTTTGTTAGTTAAGTTAGTTTTCCCTGTCGGTTCGCTCGAATTACTGAAAAGTGGTGCTCTTCGGCCTTTTTATCTCAACTTGTCTCGATCTTTGTAATCGTTCGAAACGTCAGCAGAGACGCACGCTCGACGAAACGCGTTGGAATTTCTAGAAATCTGGTCAGAAATTTTGGTTCGTCGGTCGCGTGGAAATCGAGTTTCAATCTTTCCTCGACCTTCTTCTTCTTCTCGACTAAAGCTACGAGGATTGTGCATATACGCGTAACGCTATCGTACCACGTGCAGTCCCAGAAATCCTGCGAGGTTCTCGATGGTGTTGACTCGTGTAACCGGCGAGAGGTTGTCGAACCTGGCATCCAGCAGTATCGTCAGCAGCGTCTGTTCCTCCCCTTCGTTGCAGTGTGTCTAAAATCAGAGAGACGTCCCATTTCAGTTGGCTGACTGGAGGCAGAAGCGAACGGTGTCAGTGTGCGAAATGCGAGGAATTAAGGCCGGCCATCCAAACGATACTCAGCCGCGATGACGCACAATACGCAGGACTATCAATTGGCATCAATCAACAACGTCTACCAGACTAATTTCTCGGCGAGATTTAAACGTGGCGTACCGATGCAATCGCACGACGTGCGGCGATCTTTTGCTCCACCACTGAGCGCGAGTAGAACGAATTCCACCCTTCTATCCCGGGTTCTCTCGATTCAGAAAATTTGTCTAGAAGATCGGTTGGATTTTTCTTACCGTCTTGTAGGAGTTTTATTAGATTTCACTATCTTCTTCATGGGACGCGTTATATGGTAAAACGAAATAAAATGGTCAAGGGTGAGGTATAATTGATAAGGGTTGATAATTCTTATCAGGTAGCAGAGAATTAATTTAGAGCAGAATGGATTGTGTTTGTGCGAGATAATGTAACGAATGGACTGCGGATTTTCACGCAAATTCGCGTTTTTACGAACACGATAAAAAGAGAGAGAGAGAGAGAGAGAGAGAGAGAGAGAATAGAAGCCAAGGTAGAGATTTGCGTGTTTCAACCGCTTAGTGTTATAAATAAAATATACAATATAATTTGCCGAGCACGTCGCACAAGGTTGCTGTTTCTCTGGTAAAAATCGAATAATTGGAAACGGCAGGCAAATGGTAGCAAATGGAATTTCCCGTTTGCAAGCGGCCAGGGTCGAGAGATCGCGCACGTACGCGTGCGTCGAGGGGTGAAATCCAGTTTACCCGATTAATTAATCGACGCTAAACGGTTCAAAAATGGCGATGTTTCCGTGGACGTGAGTGATCCAGGTAAGCGGCCACAGTCTCGTAGCGAAGGATAAACGTGATAATTTCGTCGAACGATTTAACGAGCACGGCATTGCGACCAATTAATTATCTAGATACCGAAAATCGGCTGGATCCGATTAAAACGATCGACGCGTCGCGCAAAAGTCAAACCCCGATATGCTTGTTGCTCGATCGGCCGACGAAACCGATTAACGCGCTAATTGATTTACCGCTTCATTAACAGCTTCGGCTGGACGCGCCGAGTTTAGCAACAAACGAGCGTGCTCTGACCAACCTGAATGATCTGCTCGTTCGCTCAAATGGATAATAGGTTTAAAGAAACGTGAGTTTTTTAACACTGGAAATATCAGAGTTTCTTTTCCTTCGTCGTTCTTACAGACACATTTTTCTTCTACTCGACTAAACTTAAGAACGATTTGTTATTATTTTAGACAAGACATTGGACAATGATGTTTAGAAAATAGGAATTTTGACGGATTCAAGCGAAGATGACCTGATTGATCGTTCTAAGGTGAAACGATCAAGCACCGAAGATTTTTACAAAATTATAGTTCTATACAATGAGATTTGAAGATATTAGCTTGTCCGAAAAGTGTCTTTCTTTTGCAAATATGTCTTTTACAACAGTGCAGCTTCATACAAATGTGAAACCAAGTCTGCGAAATGTCGCGGTGTTTGTCTCAACAGAACAAAATGCATCGTGCGTAATTCGACAAAATAATATAAAACAAAAAAACCTTGTGCGTCTATTATTTGCTCATAAAACGAAAGAAACTTTTCGAACAAGCTAATACAAATGTTCCGAAGCAGCAAATTTACCTGTTAGCATAAATTCCAATTATAGTTTGATATACTGTTCGATCGATATCGTTGGATCCTAAAAGTTTCGTTTGTTTCCACGATTTTTATTCCTTCGCTGACGCGACTACGACTCACGCGTAATTCTGTTCGATCGATTTTCAACGAGATCTTCCGTATTTGAAAAAAGAATAACAGTTACTGTTCAAAACGAAACGATTCACACGGTTAGCGGAAAAAGTTAGCAAGTTGGCCAACAGGTTGCGAGATCCTACGATTAATTCTGATAGTGGCAGGCTAGTAGTACCTGTTGTTCGGCCAGGAGCTAGTTGAATCGTTGCCAATAGAACGCTTTCATCGTTAACGATAGGGCCTGGCAACGGTGCTCGAGAACTTTTGCTCAAATATAAGGAACTCACCTTTCCGTCTCTGTGCTTCAATTCCTCGTGTTTCTCCGGTACCACTTGCACGACGAACAGGTCCTTCGTTTCACTTACATCGTGCTTTGGCATCACTTTTACGCTTAAAACGCGCCTGCCCACGTCCTTCTTGGTCGGGACGCCCATCAGAGTCGACGCCGCGTCGTCCCAATACAACCATCGTAGCAGTTTTCCGTTAGGGTCGAACAACTGTTTTTACAACATATAAAAATTGCTTAATGTATCTGTTTCTTTCTCAATCGTTTGATATTAACATATTGTTGATCGGGCATTAGTTAATTCGTGTTTTTGTAGCCAAACGTTGCCGACTGGCCACGAGTCGCTTCTAAGTTGCGTCCTTTGTTGTAAATAAAATTTCAACGATGACGGAACGTACCCATGAAGAATCTTTCAATGAATTATAAGCTGTTTTATCTGATATTTTATCTGATAGTCTCAGTGAAATATTAAAAGTTGACTAATCAAAAAATTTAAGTTGAGAATTGTGCATCTTAATCGTGGACATAAAAGTAAACGAACAGTTAAATTATACTTAAAAATTATATCAAAATAGTTTCAGATTTATTTAACGCTTTGACTGCCACGTTGGGTCATATATGACCCGCCACGGTTTCTCCTGTGACGTCACACGATGGTCATTGGTGACCGGAGCGCTTGAACTACTTACAATTGTAAAAATTAAATGGAAATTGACAGTCAGGGCATTTTGAATATAACCGATAAATAGAAGATACTTTGAAACAAAAAGTGCCCCATTGAACGATTAAACATTTTTATTAGAACATCAATAAAAAAAAAAATGAGAACAAATCTTGCATCTAACGGTGCACTGTGTTTGCATCCACATCTTCAAGGGCTGATTTACGAATATTATTATAAACACACCTTAGAAAATAATCGTAAATGCTGCTTTATAATCGTATAATCGAAGTTAGAAGTGTGCACATACCTTACTATTATACAGGGTGTTTGATGACTGGTGGTACAAGCGGAAAGGGGGCGATTCTACGCGAAAAAAGAAGTCGAAAAGATAGAATAAAAATTTTTCGTTTGAGGCTTCGTTTTCGAGAAAATCGACTTTGAATCTTCGCTCGGTACGCGTGCAATACGTTTTAACGGATCTCACTGTAGATCGTTGTCTCGATGGAAAAATTAAAAAAAATTTTTATTCTATATTTTCGACTTCTCTTTTCGCGTAGAATCACCCCCTTTCCGCTTGTACCACCAGTTACCAACCACCCTGTACATTTGCACGCGTCTCAGCACTCTTTGTCTCACCATCTTCTATACCACACTACGAACGTACCAATTGCATTCATCTGTTTTTCGAGACGCTGTGCACACGCAAACTTCCACACACTCATACTCACATACGTGTGTCACTACGTGTGTGTGTAGCACACAAAATTACACATCTCAATAATTTATTAAAGTTTATTTACATCGTTTTACTTCCACATCCAATTACGAAATAATAGCCGGTGACAAGAGATAAATTCTCAGTAAAATTGCCGGTCGACGATGTGTTAAATAAAACGAATTATTTAATACCAAAACTACCAGAGTAATCGAAATGATCAAGGCGTGGTTTTTAATAGAAATTTTATGGAATTCGCAGAGGTGCATTTTTTGCTTATTCTAAGTTTGCTGCTCAATCGATGACCTTTCATGGCCTGGCGTCAATTCCACTGTCAGGTACGGATAATTATCATAGTAGCGAACGCGCGAATAGAATTGTGTAAGTTGATAGTTGGTAATGTGTGTCTTTCTAGCAAAAGGAAATTGGATGGGTTTAGTTGAGTTTGGTTTCAGGTCAGTCACTCCATCGTTCGTATCCGAATGTCCAATTTCACTTACGCGCTTCACAGGCATTTAACGTCTCGTCAGATTTTTGCTTGCGTGATAATTATAGTAAACGTCGATTAACAGACTCGAGAACAGAGTAAACGATTCTATCTTTCTACCTCTCGCGCTAAAAGCAACTGGCATATTGCTTTCGTAACTGTGTGTCAAGCAAGCGAAAGAAATATAATTGCGTAACGTATGCAAATTCCATGGGTCGGCGAGTGAAAATCGCTGGCGAAAGAACCAGTCAGAAGAGAAAATCCGGAGGACGAAAATCCGTACGACGAAAAATACGTATTTAGATTTCCCAATCAAATGAAATAAATCGCACGAAGATAGGAAACGTTTTCATAAGAAATTGGCGAATTTATATGGATTGTGACTGTAGTGTCGCGAAATTTCATCGTCGTCGCCGCAAATAACGTGCGAACAAAAACAAAAGGGCGTCGCAGATGTGGTTTTTATTTTCGTCCATGCCATTGGGTATTCTTTCTTCGAAACGCGTGGGTATGTTCATCGGTCGAGGGTCGTTGCTCGTTCGATTTTATCGCACGAATAAAATGCCTATCGACGGTCTACTAAACGAAAGAGAAGATATGGCTGACGTGCGGTGCTGGCGATTACATTTGGATTATCGAATTTTCATTTCACTATCGTCGCTATCGTTTCGAAACACGAATAGTTCGTGCGAACGTTCGTGCAGCAAAACCACACATCGATTGCTGCTTAATAAATTTGTTCTGGGTTATTTCAAGTTCTTTTTAAAAACAAAAAATGCCAAGAAATCCTTCTGACCGATTCGATAGGCAATAAATCTGTAAGCATTCGGTCGAATAAATTTGTCGCAAGTCCAAAACGCTTCAAAAATTCAGTTAGAATTGCGTAGAATGTACTCGAGTGTCGGTTCGACCCTCGTTCAAGAACATAAAATGCTAATGTAGGATCTGGTTTCCTGGCGATGAATGCCGTACCTTGCGAATTTCTAACCGTGTTATCGGCAAATTGAATCAGGGATATAGATACCTAGGGGCGTTAGCATGGCCGACAAAAGGAAGTGAAGGAAAGACACGGGAAGCTACGTACGGTAGGATGACGGTATGAAATTTGGCGACAATCCAGAATTTGCCCGAAACGGAACTCTGGAATTCCTGGCTCCTTTCCGTTTGACAAATTAAGACGCGTTCGACTATTTGTTGCACCAACGTTGTGGGTCAAGCTGAAGTTACATTAACGTGCCGAGATCGCTATGATTCCATAGAATCGAAGAGTTGCGAAAAATTCGGTTAAAATTCCACTGTCTCAGGAAACGTAGCCGGGAAAAATTCCTCCAGGCGAAAGAAATTACCATCGATATCCACGTAATATCCTGAATTCGAGTTTACGATCCGAGAATATTGAAAGGACGACATTATTATTTCATTAGTTTGAAAAACAATTTTGTAAAAAAAATGTCCAAAATAAAGTTAAAAGAAATAAAATAAAGTTAAATAAAGTAATCGCAAGTGTCTTGTCGATAACCGTTTCCCTTTCATCGTTGTTATCCTTCGTTGAATAATTTCTTTTACCATTTCCTTTTTTTTTCTTTTTTACCTACTTATTACGTAGATGTTTATCTACAAGAAGGTAAGAGAAAATTTTCCTGGATCTGCATCAAAAATTCTCGTAAATCATGCTCGTGACAGAGGCTTATTACTTGAACCTGCGTTTCGTAGAATATAGTTTGCTGCCCACGTGTGCTTCTGATTTGCGAAAACAACACTGTCCGCTACCAACTGAAGTAACACAAGCATTACGCGCCACCCACATCTGTTGCAGCATCAGCGGGGATGATGTCACTGTTTGATATCCTCGTTTAATAGTGCACTTCGCTTGAAATGGGTCACGATAAATTAAACCACGATACCAACCACAATAAACCGAAGATAGTGCGCAAACTTTTTAAACGTGGCTTCTAAGTGAAACAACAAACAATATGCTTTCAACTTTTCGACAGACAAATCCGGACGAATTTATGCTACCAGGAAAATCAACGTGACCTACTCCAAGACAAAACTCCTCTCTGGTGGCCGAAGTCACGTACGAGAAAAGTATTTTAAATACGAGTAAAGAGATTGGAAAAAGAAAGATTCAGTTTACGATCGTTGGCAAACAGCCAGAATTAACGCACTTTGTCGGCGGGGTACGTTTCGCTAAACGCAAAATGACTCGTAAATAACAAAGATTAAATACGCCACTGTGTAATCCCTACGGTTACAGTGCATTAGATTTATGTGTCTATTGGTAAAGGTCAGAGTATTTTTAACGTTTGTAAATATAACGTTGGCGGAGGAAAACAAGTTTGAAAGGTATCATTTTTATTGCATTTCGTGGAAATTATATGACAAAAGTGTCACAAATCTCGAGGTAAATGAACATTATCGACGTGGTGGAAAGTATTTTTCATCGCGTACGATTTAATCGCGTATCGCAAAAATGAAGGAATTGGTCGTCGGTAAAGAAACAAAGGCAAACCTCAGCACAAATCACGCGATTATCGCGCAAGCAAAATAAGTAAAATACTGACGACATCAATGGTAAAAGGTATACAAACAAAGGTATAGCAAAAAGACAAACGTACTGGCTAACTAGTCGCAGATTTAAACTCAACTTTTGGGAAATGAACTGAAACGATTGTAAAACCAATATGAGGAATATCGGTTGCAATGAATCGCATTAAGAAGCTGAAGTCACTTTAATCGCTTTAGTCACAAGTACTGAGAACAGTCGTTCTGTCTCGTGTTATCTGAGAAACTCGCACTGACGCAAATATCTAAAAATTTCGACGGGCCAAGAGGAAACAAGTAGATATGGAAAGAAAGCACGATGAAAAGCTCCTAACACAATTTCTAACCAGTTAGCGGCGGAATCGTACACACTCTCCCACTGCAAGAAAGCTGAGAAAGGAACGTCCTACCGATTTGTCAGCCTAAAAAGAAAAAAGCAAGATCCATTTTAAGGGGGTGTCCTGAATTAGAATGTTCTAAAACAGCGTCGTCTCGTGATTGCTTTTTAGAAGGGAAAGAAAGAAATGAAGTTATTGAATTTTGAGGTATGGTTTTATATATATTTAACGAATACAAAAAGATTTTTTTTAAAGCAAGAACGAAATTATAACAGATTTTGAAGCCTATTTCGTGGGCTGCAGTTTTCAATCGGCGGGAGGGATCCACCTCGTAATTCTTGAGGACGAGAAACCAAAAAAAGGATTAAATTATTATATATTTTTCTTCTCGATGAACTAAAAAAAGGGCAGAAAATAGTGTGAAATTAAAAATTTTGGCGGGTTTAAAGAAACAATGTGTTTTATAAAAAGAAAAAATAAACTTTAAGGTGCTACAACAATTATTTAAATAAACTTTTTGACGAACTTTTTTAGTTCATCGAGAAGAAAAATATATAATAATTTAATCCTTTTTTTGGTTTCTCGTCCTCAAGAATTACGAGGTGGATCCCTCCCGCCGATTGAAAACTGCAGCCCACGAAATAGGCTTCAAAATCTGTTATAATTTCGTTCTTGCTTTAAAAAAAATCTTTTTGTATTCGTTAAATATATATAAAACCATACCTCAAAATTCAATAACTTCATTTCTTTCTTTCCCTTCTAAAAAGCAATCACGAGACGACGCTGTTTTAGAACATTCTAATTCAGGACACCCCCTTAAAATGGATCTTGCTTTTTTCTTTTTAGGCTGACAAATCGGTAGGACGTTCCTTTCTCAGCTTTCTTGCAGTGGGAGAGTGTGTACGATTCCGCCGCTAACTGGTTAGAAATTGTGTTAGGAGCTTTTCATCGTGCTTTCTTTCCATATCTACTTGTTTCCTCTTGGCCCGTCGAAATTTTTAGATATTTGCGTCAGTGCGAGTTTCTCAGATAACACGAGACAGAACGACTGTAAATTAGAAATCTGTTATAATTTTTTTTTACTTCAAAAAAAATTTTTTTGTATTCGTTAAATATATATAAAACCATACCTCAAAATTCAATAACTTCATTTCTTTCTTTCCCTTCTAAAAAGCAATCACGAGACGACGCTGTTTTAGAACATTCTAATTCAGGACACCCCCTTAAAATGGATCTAGGACACCCCTTTAAGACTCTTAAAGACGGTATCCCGCTGGGTTACGTAAATCAACCTGGCGCATAAGAATTTCCCTAATCTCGATTGGACAAATTGTAAAGTTATAATAAATAAACGAGTAAATAAAAATAGAACTCGAGGGTACAAAAGTTACTAACACGCGTATGCGTACGAAATTATCAATATTAAACTCTACCTCTGTCGAATATTGCAACGTGATTATTTCGCATCTGGTGTACCCCATAGATAACAACGATTACAATTACCAACGTAATTAATAAGGACAGCAGCTGGTATCCCCAACTATCGAAATATTGAAATTTAAAGCAAATATAAATCGAGATTTCTCACCTCGTAGTAGTCTTCAGGGCCGCTGAAAGCTTCCTTGTGGACTTTAAGCTTGAGCACATGTCCAACTGGTACGACGACGTGAGGAACGTTGTGCACCTTGTCGAATTGATGCCTTTTTGCGTCATGGAAGTACTTCGGCTCGTACCAGCTGGTCCTGTGCTCGTCTAATCGACGACTGATAACCGCGGCTGCGGTGCTGGTCGTCTCTTCGCCGACGTCGTCGAACACCAGGTCGTCCTCCTGCAGGGTGAGGCCCAGCACCGCGGGCAGCAGAAGGAAACACGCGAGGACGTAAGGATTCTTCATCTTGCGGGACAGATCTCCTCGATCGTTGCTATCATATCATGCTGAAGTACCTGCAATCAGATAGAAGAGCATTGTTATTATAAATTGGAGTTTTTACAGCGAATCTTACGGCATAAAATAGCGTTCAAGTGTCCAACATGACAAGATAAAGAGAGGAGTGTGCGATGAAAAACAACTATGATTTAAAATGACTAATATTATCTAATAAACTTGGATAATCTTTCAGCAACTTTTATATATATATAGAAGATATTGAATTGTTTTTCGATAATCGAGCGTTTACACTATTGCATAATCACTGTTGACATTTTGCTTTTTATCTGACTGATTCGCGTAGACTAGCGAGTACACAGAAAGCTAACTGGAAACTGATAAAAAGGCGAAACCAACGGGAATAGCTGAGCTCGTTCAATGAACACCCCCACTATAATGAAATAAAAATAGTTATGATAACAGCGGCTTCATATGATGTATAGAATCACGTACGAACGATGTGACGGCACGTTCCACGTTCGATTGCTCATTAAATACTGTCACGCGTTGTTAGATCATAGAGAAACAGATTCGTGTTCATCACGCAACGTGCCTTATCGGAAACAATCAGTCATATATTCAGAAACAATCGGTCGTATATTCATCTAGCAAAAATTTATACCACCATACTACTAGAATTATTCATCTATTTATCTAGTTTATTATACAGGCGAACTGGTTTTGGTAAAGGCCAGGCATTGAAAGGAGGTCAGAAATCATAAAGAGGAAATATTGTATAAAAATAAGAAGACGCTATAAATCGAAGCGCGATCGAATGTAACAAAATTGATATAAAATCTGGCATAAGAAATATTTTCGCGGCTCTAATATTAACTTTTGTTGTACCTTCGTCGACATCTTGGAGAATGGAGATTCGGGCCAGTTTTGTGATATTTCCGCTAAAAAGTATTTTTAAAACATACAAACCGCCCACATTTACTCCGTTAGAACTGTTAACCATCTAATTCAGACAGTCGAAAAATCCACAAAATCTATAAGTGATACATAAATATCGCTAAGATTCAGGTTTGAAATTAAAGGAATCTGATGTTTCGATGTTGCGAAAGATTTGAAATTAATTCAGCTAAGGAAATTTCCAACGCCGATAAGAAGCACGAAACAATACACGTTCGATCGATCGCCATTTCACGCGCTAATCGTCTCCGGATCGATGAAAATTAACGGTGAACGATCGAACGATTCGCAGCCTGTATTTCTCAGCTCGTAAGTCGCTAGCTTCTCTCTTTTTCATTGGTCCAGTTTCGTCGCTCGTTCCATGGGTATTTAGCGAAAGGAACAATGGAACGTTTTCGTGAACGAGACCGAATGCATTCAGTAGCCGACCAATGATAGTCAATAAAGGCTTTCATTGCATTTTTATTTCCTCTTATTGCTCGGTCTGTCGAGGACCGTGCCATTAATTGGCCGAGCCGGACAATGAGGACCTCACAGTTAAGTCGACGCTGCTCCATGTTTTCAGCGGTAAATACACGCCGTCCGCCATCGCCGTGATCCTTTTTATTCCAACAAATTCTCAACAATTTCTACAACGTAGAAAATTTCTCACGAACGCTGCGTTGCGAACGATTGATCGGTCTGTTAACTCGATGGATGCAAACGAGGTATATTGGATTCCTTGATAAAGCGTCACTGGCTCTAACATAAATTGCAAATTAGATTGAACGAACCTTTACACGGTAGTTTTATTAATTCACACTAATGTTTTCTAAATTTTTAATATTATTTATATATCCGTTGGCAGACTTTCGCCAATGAAATCACATTGTGTAACATTTTTCCTGATACCGCAAGTTTTTCGCAACCATAAACTACGATGCAACTGACGCTAGCACAGGATACTATTAAAATTTAATTCTTCCGCTGCATTCTCCGGAATTGAAGATTTCATGCAACTGGAAAAATCTTACGTTCACAGTAATGCTCTTAGCGAATGATTACTTGATGTTTTAGAGTCTATACGTACATCCTTTCTAACAACGAGATTAATAGTTTTAATAATTCGCCATCGATATATAGTCTGTCATGATATGAACGCGAAATGGAATTGAACAGTATCTCGATACATTTCGCGGTCAAATGTGATCCTCCTGATACCAAAGACACGTAGAACTGTGAAACACGTTGCACTTTTCCGCAACCGATGCCCTGACCCGTTTGCGATGCACTTCTGACCCTCGTTACTTTATTATAGTAAAGGCGATAGCGCGATTCATGCCGGTTTCCAACAATGAAGCATTGTGAAACAGCCATGACCCGCCCGCCTTCCGGATAAGCCGTATCATTGTCATTCAACGACTTAAAAAATAAATCATACGACATCGATAACCCACATCCCATTTAACGAGCGCATAAATCAAGTACCCTTAATTGCTAATCGTTATCGAACCAATTAGCTTCGACAAATTAGGTTCAAACGTTTACTCCATCGTTATATTCGCATTTGAAGATCCGTTTTATTTTTGTGAATATAATAAAAAGAGAAATAAACAGGGCTTCAGCGAAGATTTGCTCGTACGTTAAATATTCCAAAAGATAATTGATATTTCTGCATCTTATGTGCATTGTATGCAATTTTTCCACTTTCTAAATAAATTATAAATCTTCTTGTCGTGTCTCATCACTTTGCTAGATGGCAACTAAGTGATTGCGGATTTTGTCAATACCATCTAATGACAAATCACTTAGTTGCCAACCCAATGGACCCTGACAGAATGATAATATCGATATTTAAAACTGATCAGAAAACGCGACCAGAATCGATAGACCACCGATTTACCGACTTCGCGTGATAAATAAAACATGGCACACCTGTGGCGAGCGTCTATGGGGAAACGGCGAGATTAATCGGGTACAAATCGTCCATTTCGTTTTCCAAATTCGGAAACAGCGTTCATTCGTATCAGCAGGTCGGAAACGCGCTAACGATCCATCGAAACAGACAGAAACGGTTGTATCGACTGGCATAAATTACGCGTCTTTACCGGCGCGCGCTCGAATCCCGAATAGGGTTTCGCTTTTAAACGATCGTATAAATCGAGTTCGTCGCGTTAATCGAAAGGAGGGCGACGCGTTTTACTGGCTGCTTCCAGGAAACATCGAAGACGGCCAACAGTACCAGAAGACTGTGTCGTAGGTGGAGACAATCGAGTTTGCGTCCGGATTTACATACGTCGCCAGGAACTTTTGTAACGCTGTGGCCGTAGTGTCTGCGACAACAGTGCAGTCTATAAGCGACCAACGCGTATGGAGAGTAGCTACAGTGTCAGCCTTTGGAGGAATCTGAAAGAAACGACGTCTTGGAAAACGTTTGTCTTTCACCTTGATATCGTTTCGAGAAACTTTGACAAGCTTTTATTTATTTATTTATCGTATTTATTGTCAATGTTCGAGTTCGATGGCTGAAGTGGTCGAGTATTTGAAATTACATAATAGTTCAAGTATGATCGCGCCAGGTATCAAGTTGTCGGAAAAGTGTCTTTCTTTTACAGACACTTCTCTTACAACAACGCTTCTTTACACAAACATGAAACCTAATCTGTCGAACGTTGTGATCTTTATTTTGATAGAACAAAATGGACCATACGTAATTCGATGAAATAATATAAAATGGAAAATGTTGTGCATTCATTTCCTTATAAAACGAAAGAAGCTTTTCGGAGGATCTAATACTTCGATCTTGGAGGAAGAAAATTTACATAGAGAAGAGCGCGTGTGCAAACTGGTTGGACGATGGCTGTGAAGCTAGTTACTGAGTAGTTTTTACCTACGTCGAGCTACGAACGACAGTTTGAAACACTCGAAGAACGCGAGAAGTTTCATATTGAGCTGACTTGTTCTACTGAAGCTTAGATTTATGAATCAGGATACACATTGTATAAGAACTTTTAAATACACGACACTGAGGTCACGAACATTCCAAAATCCTGCGAAGAGTGGATGTATTGAAAAAAACGGTCCAGTTATGTTTCACTAATTAGTATCGTTCGAATAATTAAACAACCGCTGTAAATAAAATAAACTGAACGAAAAAGAATCCTTATACATTACAATATATATATATTAGGTCGTCCAAAAAGTTTCTTTCGTTTCATGAAGAAATAATGGACGCACTACATTTTCCATTTTATATTATTTTATCAAATTACATTTTGTTCTATCAAAATAAAGATCACAATGTTCGACAGATTAGGTTTCATGTTTGTAAAAAGATGCATCGTTGCAAAGACGAATCAGTAAAAGAAAGACACTTCTCGGACAACCTAATATATATACATATAGGATTATTTATTCATAAATATTAGAAATTAGAATTTCCAATGATTTCTATCCTATGTGACAAATTGATTGATAGACGGATCTATTTACGGTGGATCAAACAGGAAACGATGGTTATTTAACGTGAACTAAATACAGTAATGTACTATAACTAAGACAATTAAATGGATAATTCACAACTCACAACTCACAACTAATAGTTTACAACTCGTAACAACTCAGCAACTCTCTCTCCATTCAACTCTCGACTTCTCGCAACTCGACTCTCAACTAACAACTCCTCGCAACTCGACTCTTAGTTAACGACTGCCGATTAATTCGTCTTTGTCCCTTAAGCATCTCTTTGTCTTTTCTCATACTCTCACCACGTACGTATTCCGTAACCGATCACGTGCACCTTCTTCCGCGTAAATATTCGACTGAAGAACCGACGACACATTGATGGACCCCGCTTGGCCCATCGAAGTTTCCCGACCCTTTAGACCCGCCGAATTTTATACTTAGGATGTCTCGCAACATTGTTCATAGTTCAGCCGATATTTTTTAGACAATCTGTCCACGATACTATAACGCATACCCGTTTGAGTGGCAAGTTTAGATTTTGTGTGGAAAAGTGCCAGTACATTTAAACGCTACGGACGACTGACGATATTTTGTATTTCACTGTTATCTTCTCAATAATTTTTACTCAACAAAACTTGAAATATTTATAAACTAATAGTACGTATATATAATAACATAGATTTCATAAAAATAACAAATATGACGAGCGTTATTGTGCCGCTTGTTTCTCTTCGCAATCGATTAAGACTATCGCGCTGTTCGCGATTTTTCTACCCTGTTTTCTGGCGCTCAAACTGTTAAATAATTATATGTTTATCCAATATTAAAACTACCTTTCTCTCGTACAAACATAAGCTGACTTTTTCCAAAAATAACGCAACGGTGTACCGATGTAAAAATAATCCTATAATTCCTACCCATAGCGGAAACACGGGCTTCGCTGTAATTATTAATGAAATGAAAAGTGTGGCATAAAAGTGGCGGTGGTTAATCAAGGAAGGATATTACCAGACCAAAGGGAAATATTTATGGAGTCAGTTCGTGCCACTCGAACGACAAAAGTGGAAGCGTAGCCAGTTGTATCCGAGGCGAGGAACGTTGTGCACGGGGTTCGAGGTATTGTCAGCGAGCTGCTTATTTCAGAACGCGATTCACTTTGATTCACCGACGACAAGAACGTCGTGGAGTATGATGCCATTCAATGCGCCATTGTTCTGGCTCAAAGGTTACGCGGATTGATCGAACAACGAGGCCGGTTGCTGTGTAAAGCAAGCAAACCAATGGGAAATGAGTCGTACGAGACTCGCTATAGGAAAACTGGCAAACGTGATTGGGGGTAATTCCGATAATTAACACGTATTGGAGAATTCTATCTTCTACTTCCAAACCAGAAATCTATATCCCTTCGTGCATTGTGTAAACATGCGCATAATCCTCTTTCGTTGGGAATTTAACGAAAGCAATTTGCAAATTCATAGCCAATTCAATTACAGATATCTCGAGGTATCGTTGTGTAATTAGAGAGAAGAATATTCCAAGAGAAATATCAACGTTAGATCGAGTAAATTGACTTCTACTCAATTTGATTCGGAGTTAAACACATTGTTTCGTGTGAAAAAAGGAGGATATGGGAAAAGACGATCGTTCAAAATTTCTAGGGCTATGGTTCCACAAATGGCACTGCAAAATAAATGAAAATAAAAGGTCATATAACCTTCACGCTGCGAAAACCATCCTGCCCACAAGTAACCATAAATAATATTGCAATTCCAAACAAAGATTCAGTCAGATATCTGTGCATGACATCGTAGATAAATCCAAACAACTTAAATCAAAATTAAAAAAATTCTACTGGCTCATTGTCAGACGTTGCAACTTAAGCGTGCAGAGTAAAATAATGCTATATAAAGCCATATTAAAGCTTGTTTCGACCTATGGGATCCAACTATGGGGAACAGCGAGTAATTGCAACATAGAAATTCTTCAACGATTCCAATCAAAAACTCTAAGATTCTTAATAGATGGTATGTTACCAACGAAACAATACATCGCGACCTTAAGATACCCACAGTTAAAGAAGAAATATCCAAATTCAGTAATAGATATAACATAAGAGTTAACAACCACCAAATCCCATTAGTTACTCAATTATTTCACACGACGGATCAGATACGCTAAAAAGCACGCTAAAAAGACATTACCCTGTGGTACGTACGAGCACTCTCAAGTATTTACGAGTTTCTATCCATAAGCCTTATTTTTCTTTTTTTTTATTTGGAAGAATTTTACAATCAATTCTCATTGAGAATTATAAGTAAATTATTCTGGTGTGCCACTATAACGTGAATAATAAATGATTATCGTATGTTTGATTCTAGCTGAATCTAATGTTTAAATCTAATTATTCACGTTATAGTGCCACGCTAGAATAATTTACTTATAATTCTCAATGAGAATTGATTGTAATATTCTTCCAAATAAAAAAAAAAATTAAGCTTACGGATAGAAACTCGTAAATACTTGAGGGTGCTCTTGCGTGCCACAGGACAGCATTATAATGAGACATAACACTTGAGGGTACCATAAATTAGGCTCTTCATGGTATTATACTACATCGTGGCCTAGGGGAATCGACAACTTCGTGACTGTAGCATCGGATACCGGACCATTGATATATGCAATTACAGGAAACTTATTATAACATTTATCGAACGAAACACGTCGTTATTTAGTTTCTAGCGTCATTTCGCTATTGAAAATTCGTAAAAATATGTGGCGACACTCAACAGTAAATACCATCACTCGACACTAACTAGTGTCTGACGACGGTAGCGCAGTGGTTAGCGTCTTAGGTTACGAACGTTCGGAGCCCGGGTTCAAATCCCGGCGACCGGAGTTCGATTTTTCTTCCACGCACCTAAATTAGAAGAAAAATAACAGTATACCCCATCAGCGACACATCTACAGCATCTACAAGAATCACAGACGACACACACATACGCCTCTCAAATATTTAAAATTCCTCGTGTTCTTTATCTCTCAAGTATTACACGCAAAGGAAACGGCAAAACTTCGATTTTCCTGGATTTCACAATGATAAATGAGAAACATATTACGTAAAGAACGCGCATAGATATTTTATTTATAAGAGCCCTCGACCTTTCTCTGCAGTCTCGCGAACATGTCAACGTTTTAATATGCTCGAGCCACGATCTAAAGTCACTCACAGTTCCCCCGCAGTTCCGTAGCTAGTTGAATACCGGTTCGTTCCACCGTGAAGAGGGAAAAAAAAGAAAGATCGCGGTACATAGTCAGAAAGGAATAGAGACCTCGTATCGTCGATCGGACTCGCATAGCTCGCGTGTCAAGCACCTCGCGTTGCCGTTTCGCAAACAAGAGCTTTATCGACGCGTGTTTGCGCCGCGCCAGGTGCAGCCGTGCCGGTGCACGCGTGCAAAATCGGCCAACAACAGTCAGACGTCCGACAGAGAGCGAGGGCGCCGAGCGGAAGTGCGCCAAGGCTGACTGCAGTCGATGCCCTAGTCGCGATTCCCAGTCTTTTACGATACAAGCAACATGTGAGCATATGCGTAATTCTCTACGATGATCGACCATGTTCCTTTTTTCCCCCCTCGAGTCGAGTCGAAAACGAAAGACGATTTGCTAAAATGTTATTAAGGTTTGAGTCGTTCGACGAAACGTGATATTTTGCGGGCAGATTGGAATAAGACTGATGATAGGAAGGGGAGAAGGTCGACAGGTTTCGAGATTGCAGGTTTCTTTTTGTCTTTTGTTTCTCAAGTGACTTCTTTCATCGATGCGAAGTAAGCACAAATATATGCGTAAATTTGAAAATGTAATTTCCTGAAATCTAATTCCTTCGTGCAATGGATATAGAAAATGTTCAGTGATGATAGCGCTCGTTTAATTCCGTAAATGATTACGACTATCAAGTTTGAATCGAGTTGGCGTTAAATTTTCTTTCTGGCTAAGCTCATTGGATATTAGAATTTGGCAAAATCTGTAATCGCCTTGACTTTAGTTATCGAATCTCCGCTAATATTCTAGTTTATCCTTTATTCATTTACCTGTGTACTTCTTAAATGAACTTTATTGCGCTCGACACCAAACTCTCACAACTCAGCCACTTTGTCCCTCTTCGATAGGCAATGCTCAAAGGAAAATGAAAGATTTCAACTTCAGTCTATCGACGGTTGCAAAGAGACTAACGATTTACTCGACGACCGTGTCACTTTAATACCCACGGTAAACTTGAGTCAGCCTGTTTTTCGGTGTCCACAATGAGATTACGCAGGAGTGACTAACCTTCGCTAGACTAACAGTAAGTCTAAAGGAGATTTTTCAACCTTCGACACGTCAATGCCGTTGTTAACGTTTCGCTTCGTTCGCAGTGGTCGAAAAAACGTTTGTCAAATATTAATTATTGAGATATGTATAATTTTGTGTGCTAAACTAAATTAGCCAGGTAGTAGCGACACACCTATGTGAAACGTCTTGTGCGTCTCGAAGAAACAGATGAATGTAACCGTTCCGTTGGCGGTGTGGTATGGAAGATTTTGTTTTCTTATTTGGGAGAATTTTACAATTAATTCTCATTGAGAATTATAAGTAAATTATTCTGGCGTGGCACTATAACTTGGATAATAATTGTTTATCGTATGTTTGACTCTAGAGAATAGAAGATGGCGAGACAAAAAGAGTGCTGAGGCGCGTGCAAATGTGTATCGACGAAGATCCTGGAAATCGTTTATTAAATAAATCTAAAACCATTTTAATATGAATTCTAAGTGTAACCTTAGTGTTCCTTTACTTTTATTTTCGCAATTAAGATAATATATAATTCTCAGCACTAATTAACAAGTGGAAATCAGCTGCACGCTTTAACATATCCTTCTTATTAGAATGAAATTTTCGGTAGAAATATTGGCATGGCAACTAAGTGATTACGGATTTTGTCATTAGGTGGTATTGACAAAATCCGCATTCATTTAGTTGCCCTCTCAATGCGAGAATTGATTGTAAATGTTAATAAATAAATAAATAAATAAATCGCGAGAAGGAAACTTTCTCGAAAAGAGCGAACTCGGTAAAATTATGTGATAAAATCCTCGATGAAGGTAGTAAAATAATGAAACAGTGAATAAATCGATGGAAATCCTTCGTCCTCGCCATTTTTTTTTCTCATTTCTTTCCTTCTTTTGTTCCAGATAAAG